CGGCTGGCACCACCCGGCTCTTCCCCCACCAAGGGGGCCGCCTGGGCTCATCGGCCCTTCGCCAGGCTGAAACTCCGCTTATGTTATCCCGGGATGGTGTTAATCAGAAATCAGGGACATTTTTATTGGGTTTTTTTCCCTCAGGCGCCGGGACAGTACCCAGTCTTTTCGGTGCTGGTTTCATTCAGGTGCCTTGGCCGGGCTCGGGAGCAGATCCGAGAGCAAACGTACCCGTGGGGTCAGGCAGAGACGGGGTTGAAGTGCTCCAGGTTGAAGCCCACGCTGGGCAGTGCCTGGCCACGGGCCCATCCTGCCCCTGCCTTGGGCAGTCTGTCCTGAGCTCCTTGCAGGGGTCTGATGCAAAGTGGGATGGAGATGGAGCTGGTCAGTCCCAAATGAGCCTCTTTATAACTTTTTTCCTAGTTCCTGCAGTCCTGGCAGACAGCATATGAGCAGATCAGAAAGTGCCTTTTGCACACTATGTTATTCCCCACTCGCACCTTTTCCTTGGGTGGGTTTCCCACTAACCCAACCTAGACTTTTGACTTCAGCCTCCAAAACTATTGCAAGACCTTTTTGGTAAATAATTCCCTGAACAATCCCTACATTTCTCGTGTTTGACCCCTAACCTCGGAGCTTCGGCTCAGAAGTATGTCTCCAATTTCACTTGCCTGCTCTGCTTCTAATCAGAGAACAAGTAACAAGCCGGCTTGGGGTTTCTGTTGCAATGTGAATAACCCAGACACGCTGGATGCTGGAGAGAGATGCAGCCCCAGCACGGTGACGCTCTCACTGCTTGCTCGTCTTGGAGGAGAGGTCAGGTGCATGGGCAAGTCTGGGGTAGGATGGAGAGGGCCTGGTGTGGGCACTGCCCCACAGCCTGGACTAGCTGCAGGGCTCAGGGCAGAGGCAGTGCCCAGCACACCTGCAGTGTAACAGGAGGCGAAAGGAAAGGCAGGACCGAAGTTTTTAGCCTGGACTTGGAAGACAAATACAAAATCTCACTCTTTCATATCGCAAGCATTTCACTGCCTCAGCTGGCGGCCTGTACAGAGGCCAGCAGCCCACAGCCCAGCTGAGCGGGTGGGGATGTTGTTTACCCAAGTGGCAGTCCCCTCACTTGCCAGGCTGGGGACACCAGAGGGCCAAAGGCTTGCGGGCCTTGTGACTTCCTCCCAGGGGACCTCATGGAGGGCCTGGCTGAGGGGGCTGCCTTCTCTTACCCTAAAATCTGCTGAGGTGGGCTCTGGAAACTTGTTCCTCTGCTTCAGTTCACCTGTGTCGCGCTTGCTCCTATAATCCCATCAAGTCTTTTCCAACCTAGAAGCTCTGGGAGGAGGTGTTAGCACCACAGAAAGTCCTGCTCACTCTCTCTCGGCAGTGTCATCGCAGTCCTGTAATGGGGGGGTGTGTGTCAACAGGCCTGCAGCAGCCTGGGAAGGCAAAGCTTTGCTGGGGGAGGAAAAGCATCACGGTCTTTGAAATCTAAGACTGGGTGATATTGCAAAACTCAAAGATATTTTAAAACTGCAAAGATACTTCTTGGGAGAGTGTATCTGTTCTCAGTGTAACTCTGTGGAAATACGCACCTCAGTGAATAAATGGGTATTTCCCTCTGCTTCTAGAAGATCCACAAGAAGGGATCTCTTCATTGCAGTATTTAACAATTTCTTAAAAGTAAAAGGAAAATGAAATTAGTTGTTATTTCTTGTGGTAATCAACGTTTGCATGTATCTTTCAAGGGTGGAAAGGAAGTAGTGGCATATTACCATCACATACAAGCTATACCATTGAGACAGTTGCTGTCATCACCAGATTTCTTTTTATTTCAGAGTAAATGTTTCATGTTAAAAATTTTGGAAGAGAGGAATGATGCAACAGTTTGCCCCGACACATCTCAGAAGGCTGGTACAAACAGCTCAACCTGAATCTAGCACTGGGGAGTCCAAGCCAGTGTGACAGGAACACTGCTGGAAGTTGTGCGTACCCTAACTTGCGGTAAATATATCGTAGGGCTTCGAAGTCCAGCATTCAACAGTTAGAAATTTAGGCAAATTGACATTATAATGTGTTGGGTTTTTTCCTTCTTTTTTTTTTCTTCCTCTTTTTATTCTTTTTTTTCTTCCACAAAGTTCGAAGTGCAGGCTTCCCCGCCCCCGCTCTTTCAGTGCCCAAGACAGGCAGTGTTCAGCTCCCTATTTAATATTCCTTTTATCGTTAGTTTTCTAAGGCAATACGGATTATGCAGTCGCTCTGCTTATCTGTCTGCCATCTACCCTTATTCCCTCATAACTCTTAAACCCTGTGATCAATACCAACCAGCGGGTTGACATGATAGCTCTGCGAGGGTCTTTAAGATGTTGAGTTCCTACAAGTTCTGCAGAGCTCAGCAGTGGGCTGGGGGGGACAGATCCAGGAGAGACCTCAGCTGCCACCCATCCAGTCTGGCAGGAATCGGGTAACCCGTATCTGGGGGGCAGCTGCCGTGCGGGATGTCTTTTGCCCAACAGCCTGCTGGAAGAGGATGTCTACAGGGGGAACAAGATGGTATCATGGAGGCAGACCTTGAGGTAGAGGGTATGGCCAGCAACAGGACTGGGAACAGAAGCTATAGAGGAGGCTGAAGGGCCTAGGGGACATGGGACAGCACCCAGATAACAGCTTTTTCCTTTTACCATTCAGTGTGATCCCAAGCCTTATTTGTTGCAAGTGCAGTGAATAAGAAACAAATGCTACTCTCTTATTTTTCTTTGGGACTTGTCACGACGATGTTTGAGAGCACTGGAAACGTGACTGCATTTATCTTTATTGCTCCCGTGGGAGCAATAAATTTGCTTCTCTTTTGAGGTCGAGAACGAAACCTTGGAGAGGTTCAGACCACCGCTGTGGCACTGCCCTCACACCGTGAGGCTCCATGCAACTTCCCAGCCTTATTCCTGTTTTTAGCACCGGATATGACCCAGACACGGTCCCGACATACTCCAGCTGCAGTTATTGCACTTACTGCGCATTATCCACCAGGTGTGCCCCACTCCGGGCAGTCAGGAAAAGAGGAGCGTGTGGCGGCTAAGCTGCGACCGCTGCTG